CCCTTGCCATTGGAAGTGTACCCATAGGAGCCGCTTAGACCATTGTAAGGGCACCTTATAGGGCACTGCGTCACATTCTCTCCACTAGACGGGCACTTCATGATGGCACCCTTTTCCACTGAAAGGGTACCCATAGGAGCCGCTTAGACCATTGTAAGGGCACCTTATAGGGCACTGCGTCACATTCTCTCCACTAGAAGGGCACCCATTAAGACACTATCATATTTTCTTGCTCTATAGGGCACATTTCCTCTCATGAAGGAGGCTAAATCATGTGATGGGTGGCCAATATCCATGTTTTTACCACTCAAAAGGGCACTTCAGCGAAATTTCTTCAGCTACAGGGGCACTGGGGGGGCACTTGCCCCCTCTGCTTCCCCATAAGTCCACCAGTGCCAGAATGTCCAGGCCACAGTGTCTCGATTGTCATACATTTACATGAACAAAATGCAATTGATCAACATAACTTATCCACTGAAAGCAAATTATTCTTGGTTTACAATATGCTGTAAATGATGCTCCCTGATTGCAGACAACCCTGGTTGTCTGACTATCCCGCCATCCATTCATACCCAGACAGCACAATGTCTCCGTGATGCTTCAAAATCCATCGACAAAGCATCTCTATGAGGTCATGTGCTCACTGGTCCAACATCGCAGAGATACCGCTACCAAATATTGATTTGACATTTCCTCGATTAGGCTATATATAACCCACAATAGGGTTATGCTATATATATTTATATACTATAAGGTAGATTTGCTCTGTTTACCCTGCATGTAGGTACAGCTTAAAACCATATAGACCTGCTACAGGAATAATTTACCAAATTAAAAGACATTATTTTAAATATTGACAACATGACAGAAACAATAACAATATATCTATGCTGAAGTGATTAGACCAACACTATTGGAAAAACTACTGAAACACACATTAGCTTATATAATAATTTAATTATTGTTAACAAATGGAACACGATCATTGAACGTCATTCCCATATCTTAAACCAATGTCCCGGCTACGTAAGCCGGCTTTTTGGGTAGTAGGGGGCCCTTTGGCAACTCAGGGGCCTCTCTGACCATTTTAATGCGCCCTGCCGTATTTTATTAATTTTTATTAAAATCAAAACGCTGGAACTCTGTAGGTTTTATTCGAGACGGTAATATGCATTCTCAGTGAAGCAAAGCTACACTACATGATGATCACAAAGAGATCGGAAGCTAATTATTCTGCCGCACCTTTAACTGCGCCCTGCTACCAAGACACACAATAGCGCTAACTACCTTTCAAAAGAACTGGATAAAGTATAAAAAGTGTTGAGCACCATCGTGCGCATGGTATGGGAAGGCAGAGGACTCCTCCCCCTCTGCAGAGTCAGGAAGATCCCCTTCCTCCTGCACTCGGCTCCCCGTGTGACAGATAGCGCATTGTCTCGCACTTTGGCATATCGGAAAAATAGACACCGCCACTGGAATCACAAACACATAATCAGACCGGCTTTGCGGCTCTGTTTGACATCGGAGTGCTTGTTCTTAACATGGGGAACAGAGATGATGAATACGATTTCTTGTTCAAAGGTAAATTTAGATATCGACGACTCTACGTATTATGCCAATAATATAAAATAACAGTTTGTTAGTGGACCGTATTGCGCTGCAGGCGCTAGTTAAATCAGTGGATTCGCAATGTTGGTAACGGTTTCAGAACTGCGAATACTGATTACTGATTGATATTTCATGCTATCATTTCTGTTTGTCGCATTGTGTTTAGCAAAGGCTATCCTGCAACCAAAAAACATAGGCTCTGTCTAGGAGTTGACATTGTCTACTTGCAACATGAACTGTCGACAAACCAACATAGTAATATTATTACATTTTTTAATTAATTCTGCTATGATGTCTCATGAAAACACAGGACCGGTTACCCGACTAGTGATTTGATTTCCATTTCATCCGGATGCGTAGCATAACAAGCCCATTCGCATTGCATATTAAGCGCGCTGTGTATGAAATAGCTAATGAAAATATTTTTATTCGCATATAACAGTCGACTGTTACACATGCCTTGTTTCTCTTAAAGATAAACGCTTTTGAGTTTGTTCAAATATTAGAAGAAAAATCACAACAATGCAGATTCTTTCAGTCAAAACCTTCTGTTTCCGTGGACGGACACCCGATAGGATCACTGCATAGCCGTATTGGCTGGGCTATGCTGCACACCCCAGTCCAACTTTGGGGTTATCAATAAGTAAAATAATTCATTTTTATATAAGAATAGAAAATTTCATACCATCGGACCGCCGCCACCAATACATTTCTATTATTATGAGTGTGTTTTGTTTGGACTGCTGTTGCTGTAAATCCTACCCTAAACTGTTGAGAGCGTTTGTCTTGAAATCCGGCAGCACCACGATATGGCAATGACTTTAGCTGGCAGTGACTCAAAATATTTTCAGATACTTTCGCTGCAGATTTTTAATTAAATCACTTCAAGACAGCATAAACATTGCCTGCTTTTTTCATTTACAGGCACAGAACAACACATGTTTTAGCCAATGGATTCAATTGTTGATATCTGATCTCTTTTGTAGTATTTATGTAGAGGTCAACAGTTTATTTTTTGTGGAACTGGCTGTTTTTATTTAGCTAACTAGGCCTATATATATCAGGTGTCATAAATATCATTCTTTTAAAGGATTCATATGTAGTTTAAAAAGATGTAGACCAGCACACTGTCTGCACTTTATATACCTCCAAAACACCCTTATGAATCACACTTTAAATCAGTTGCAGTTGGACATGTGTATAGTAGTTTTACACAAAGTATGTATGGTATATATTATGACTAAATGACTTGTGTTTAATGTACACCTAATAGGTACTGTATAGTTAAAACTGTCACCAATGAAAAGAGGTTTCTGACTGGGGCACTCTCATTGGCTGTCTGTTGGCTTCTGTTTGTCACAGTGGTGCTGATTGGAGACTCCGGCGTGGGGAAGAGCAACCTGTTGTCCCGCTTCACACGCAACGAGTTCAACCTGGAGAGCAAGAGCACCATCGGGGTGGAGTTCGCCACTCGCAGCATCCAGGTGGACGGCAAGACAATAAAGGCTCAGATCTGGGACACGGCCGGGCAGGAGCGTTACAGGGCCATCACATCAGCGTGAGTACGGCCGGCCTCGGCGGGGGTGGGGGGGGAGGTTAGTATGCGGGGGGCTTTCTGAGTGGCGAGTGAGTGTGTGTCGCAGCATCTGAGCCGCTCTGTGTTTGATAGGTACTACCGGGGTGCGGTGGGGGCCCTGCTGGTGTACGACATCGCCAAGCACCTGACCTATGAAAACGTGGAACGCTGGCTGAAGGAGCTGCGCGACCATGCGGACAACAACATCGTCATCATGCTGGTGGGCAACAAAAGTGACCTGCGGCACCTACGGGCCGTGCCCACCGACGAGGCGCGGGCCTTTGCAGGTAAAGTGCGTTCCTCGCCGGCCTGGGGGGGGGGCGCTCAGCGTGCTCACGGGTCACTCTCCGGCAGCTCACCTCCTGCTTTCCCCTCTTGTGCCTTCAGAGAAGAATAATCTGTCGTTCATCGAGACCTCAGCTTTGGACTCCACTAATGTTGAAGAAGCCTTCAAGAACATCCTCACAGGTACGGCGTGGGGCCAGTTTGCAGCACCAGCTGCCCTGCAGTCACGCCCATAGTTGTTTTAACCTTCTTAGTCACAGATGTAGATCATCTGGAGAACTTGAGGGTCCAGTTTGTAGACCACCATGCAGCTACTGCAGCAGGAGTTTCAGTCCATATGTAAGCTAGTGATGGACAAAATGGCACCTCATGAACCATTTGCTGTACTTTTTGACCCCACTAGATGGTGCTCTTGGCTTGCTTTGGGGCACGCTTTTCTGAACAGAGAGCACCATCTAGAGCAGGGGTGGCCAATCTTATCCGCAAAGGGCCGGTGTGTATGCGGGTTTTCGCTGCAACTCCCTAATCAGATTACTAATTAGAGGACTGATTGGCTGAAGAGTCCTCACACCTGGGTTTGAACAGCTGCCCTACAGGTTATCCCAAAAACCTGCACACAAACCGGCCCTTTGTGGATAAGACTGGCCACCCCTGATCTAGAGGGTTCAAAAAATACAGCAAATGGTTCATGAAGCATCATTCTTTCTGTCACCAATGTAAGCGCAGTCATCGCTGACTGACGACTTCCGTGTCCCCTGCAGAGATCTACCGCATCGTTTCACAGAAGCAGATCGCTGACCGGTCAGCGCACGACGAGTCTCCGGGCAACAACGTAGTGGACATCAGCGTGCCCCCTACCACTGATGGCCAAAGGGGCAGCAAGCTGCAGTGCTGCCTGAACCTGTGACCCCTGACCTCCAAGGGCATCAACCCCATGCCTTTCATTTGTGCTTTGGTCCTGAGTAACGTGCTGCTGCTTCTGCCCCCAGCCCTGTACACAAAACTTTCTTTTTAATACTTGTCAAAATTCACATGTATTCATTTGCCATGTAATGAAGTTTTACAACCTTTTGGTCTGTTTGTCGTTCATGGACTGATACCCCCCCCCATGCTGTCGCAGTGCGGGGACCGGTTAGTTAGCTGTGCATTAACTAATGCTACTTGGAAGTGCTTTAATGGTTGTGTAGTTAAAAGTAATGTCCACTAGGGGGTGCCTGTGAATATTCACAAAAGCTCCAAATACTCCCGAACACTAATATATCAGTATTAAGCACTGTTTCTCACTACATTAAATTGCTTGAGGTCAGTGAGTATTCTTTTTATTCATGTAACTGTTATTTGTAAGTGAGATTATTAATTTCAACACACCTGTATTAACATGCAGTTTCCATATTTAACTCTGTCTTCCTAGCCAAAAAATGTACTTCATTAATTACTGATGCCGTGTCCTCAGTAATTGGAGGCGAATGATAATCAACAGCTTGTTTAGTAGTGATTGACTGCAGTACAAGTATTACAATGTTGGCCATATTTATGGTACAAATGTAGGCTTGGGGAAAAAAAGCAATTTCTTTGAAGTATAGAAGAGTTTTTCAAATAAATTTTTAATTTGTCTTCATTAGTACAATGTCCCAATGGCCGAGTTTATTCATTATTAATTCAGATCAGACACATTACAATGATAGTGATCTGACATCCAGATATGCTACAAAACATTTTTGTCTTCAGTTTTGTATCATTGGGAGATCTGAAAAATCAGGGGTGAGTTTCCCGAAGCGTTCTTAATGCTACGTCGTTCTTAAGTTCTGTGTTAAAGGATAGAACTAACGAACGACGTAGCATTAAGAAGGCTTCGGGAAACTCACCCCAGAGCAGTCCAAATTTACTGAGAGGGGTGCCATACAGATTTTGAGCCCCATGAAAACATGACAGACAAATCCAATCATATTCCAAAATGTTTAGGACCCTCGTCTCTCAGGGGCCATTGGAATTGTCATAATTCATCGTTCAGATAACTCCAATTTCATATTATGTGTCTATGCCCTCGAAGAGTGATTCTGAACAATGTTAGTGAGATTATCCTAAGACCACAAAAATATGTGTAAGCCAACAGGGTGTCTTACAAACTCAATGTGAAAATTTTCTTATTTTTTGTGTAATTTTATTTAAATGAAATTGATAACTTAGGTAGAACAGATGTACTGGTCTCAAGTGACCAAATTTTCCAGACTTTGTATTCAGAACTGGCTTACTTCATTGTCTTATTAAAAAATAAATATAAATAAACCAAAGTAAAACTAATAGTAAAACATAAAAGTATAATGTTAATATCAAAATTATTACTATATTTACTATTTCTGCATGGAACTCTCTGTACTTTGATGTTTTTAAAAGTATCCCAAGAACAGTCTTTGCATTTCATATGCTTAAAAATGTGTCTTTTTGTTCTGCCTGAGGATAAAATTGAAAAACGGTCTATGGAAAGTGATAGGTAATACTGCAAAAATGGGAAACTGCACGCCTGATCCCGTGATACATGCACACCACTGAGCTGCTGTTTTGGGTGGAGATTAAACCAACGGTCAGGCTGAAAGCCTCTTATATTCAGCAGATGGAGGGGTGAATTCCTCTCTTTCCATAGGGACTTTTTCTGTGCGAGTTTCAGCGTCAGTTACAGCCTGCGGTAAACTGTTATAATGATGTTCAACACAATGGAAAGTGTTACGTCATGTATTTGAACAGTGTTTGAGTAAAGTAAGGGCACCTACTGTAGATTTACAGAATTACAGTGATGGCGTTTTGCTTACCAGACCTGAAAGAGAAGTAGAAATATCCACTGAGACCGATTACCGTCCATCTGAACATTCTGGAAGCCGGAACTTAAATGAAGGTCATACTCTTTCATTCTTTTTTCAGCCAACATCCACGTCGGTCTCAAGGATCAAAATTGAGATCTCAGTGACTGTATCTGCTTAAATTACTGAAAAACATAGGTGAGATAAGACACTTGTTTTACCCTTTTGGGGCCAATCTCATCGACCACTAAAGCATCTCCTGAAGTCAGGGACAAATGTGATGCACAATGATCAGTTTCATCTGAATGTAAATAGACACTCATTTCTTATTGTGCCTGGTAACTTGGCATGACTCACATATTCATATATAGATATTACATTTCTTTTTTTAAGACAGCACCTCTGCACTCTGGGTTAGCACTGCAGCACCCTGGAATGTAGGTTCTAATCCTGCACTTACAGTGTGTGGAGTTTTCATGTTTCACTGCATTGGTTTAGCAGACACTTCTGTCCAATGTGAAAGAGAAATAGGGACAGACAGTCAGTCAGCATCCCTAGAGCATCTGGGGTTTAGGGTCTTGCTCAAGGTCCCGGTAGTGACAAGATTGTCAGACATGGGAACTGAACCGATAACCTTTTAGATGAGCACTGACCCATGACCTGCTGAGCTTCACACCATCATCCTCTGTGGTCGAAGGACTGTGGATTCTCCCAGCAGTCCAAAAACACGTGGTTAAGCAAACTAACCTCCAGAATGTGGCATGTGACAGACTGGAATCCTCTCCAGGGAGTTCCACGCCTTGGACCCTGTGCTTAATGGGACCAGCTCAAAGCTCACCACAGCTCTGTACTGGATAGAATGGAAGATGACTTTGATCAAAAGTGTGGTGTGACATTTATTAGTGTGCATGATTCATTTCCTAGGAAAACTGAAACAAACAGCAATGAACTTAAGGCACATTAAGCAGACATCCCTTTAAAAAACACACGCCAGCTTCCATTTAGTACAGCTTCAGTTTAATCGTTTTAATGTTCTCTACCTTCCGTTTTTTTCTTGGCTGGCTTCCAAGCACCCACCTGTTGAGTAGGACAGTACAGACAGTGTGCTCCACTGCAGAACACAGACACAGTACATTGTCATAATATTTCCACTGAAAACATTCAGAGCAACAGGAATCTGGTTCACGGCATGTCCACTTCATGATTAAAAATAACATTTAACAAAATTAAAAATCATTTAACAAATATGCAGAAAAATGAACAGGGTTTAAAAAACCTCTATACATTACTGTATACATATCTGGAATACATATGTATTTATATCATGTTGGTATAATACAAAATATTACTCTTATGGGTTTAAAATTCATTGCATTACAAAATTAAACAACTTATAAAAGACAAGATATTAAAAAAAGAAATAAAAAGGAAATAAGATATGCATGACTCCTTGGGGAAAATGTCTTGCTGGGGGTAGTTACAGAGTCTAATACTGAAGAGAGCTTTTTGCCTCTGTAAAGCATATAGGGTGTGAAGAGAGGGAAATGATAAGCAGGTCGAAAATGCCATTAGATCACACTCCAGACCCCTAATACAGAGACTATTCCCATGGTCCTGAAGAAGGCATTATTGTAGCTTATTTTTAAACATATTTTATATATATATTATAAAATAACAACTAGTGATGGACAAAACGCCATGAACCATTTGCTTTATTTTTAGACCCCACTAGATGGTGCTCTTGGTTTGCTATGGGGCATGATTAATGGACTTTTTTTGAACAGCACCATCTTATGGGGTCAAAAAATACAGCAAATGGTTCATGAAGCATCATTTTCTCCATCACTAATGATAACATTGTCTTGTTTTGTTAAAATGTCATTCCTTTGCGCTACTATGTCCTAAACTGCAATAAGCAGCCAAAAATTGTCAAACCTTGTAGTCCAGAGAGGGTGTGTGAGTCTGATATACCCCCATCAAGCAGAATCTGGCACACAGGCCACATCCCCCCCCCCTCCCCGCAGTCTCTCCCCAGCCCACAGAACAGGCCCCGCAGCCTCACGTTACAAGTCAATGAGATTCATCCATTGTGTTATAGGGAGGCCAGGCTGGACCGTGACAACACAGAAGACAGGCAAGAGCATCCGCGAAAGCCCCTGCCGCCGTCTTCCAGCTCGAGGTTTACACGAGGTGTGGCTATCTGCCAATCACAACGGGTCCTACGATTTGCAAAATCATTCATTTTCACACAGTATTAGGGCATCAGTAAGTGACTTAGATATACATATTACACATACAAAATATTTGGTGGGGGATCAGTTCCAGGCAATTAAGCAGCTTAAGCAGGGGAAACACAGCTGTAAATTTTATTTACTGCAAATTTTCAAGGTCCTTATTTAAACAAGTGTGCTGTCACATTGGGCCTGGGTCCAGCCAGAGACCTGAGAGACGGGGCCACTGGCACAGAACAGAGAATCACGGCACACATTCACTGCAAGTGAGAGGCCAATGTGATGAACACGCACGCACGCACGCACGCACGCACACACGCACACACACACTACATTTAATTCCTGCAAGATTTCCGGAGATGATGCATGACAGTACTCTCGAACCCTGTCCCACAAAAACTTTGTGGATGATGCCCTCAAGGCAATGTCCTTATCTGGACATACTTGGTCAAAACTGAGAGTTAAAATCATATTTGCCATGTTGCTGAGCAAGCAAATGTACATCAGAAATATAGGGAAAAGTATGTAAATCCATCTCCAAATTTACATAAAGTGTAGACATGCAGCAGCTGTTGTCTTCATGTTTCAAGTTCATGGTCTAATCAGGAAAAAAAAATAGGGGTGATTCAGTGAAACAGGAAAAGCTAGTAAACATTCAGTTTATCTTCGGCAAAATTACATAAGCACGCCACAATGTGTAAAGGAAAACATAAATCCCACATGGAGCATGCAGTCTGGGGACCAAAACAAGGCTGTGACATACAGATGTAAACCCAAACGACGGAAAATTAACAATGAGCTTCTCGAATCCAATGCTCACATAAGACACACACAGAAAAGCCTGAGCACATTCAGTCACTGCAAGGAGCTGTGAACAGCCCTGGTGTTCAGCATGCACTGGTGCTTTTGCATATTCCCCACTGCACTCCTTGCAGTGATCGAACAAATTATGCTGCAAAGAATTAGCAAAATGCAAGTTATGCTGCTCTGGCGACGCAGGAACAAGGGCAAACTGACGTAATGAAGATCCTGTGAATCACCACAATCACAAACACACACAGCATACTTGGATCAGAGAAACTTCAGGAGAAATTAGCCTATTCTACCAACCAAAACCCAACCCTTGCATTTAACCTACGAGGGGCAGTCATGACCTTTCACCCCTCGGTGACAGAGAAGTCGGGTCTTGCCTGATTCATGAGCTGATTTGATATTCATGAGTGGTCGCAGAGAGCACTAAGAAGAGCTGTTCACTGTCATCCGGCTTGCCTGCTTGCCCATGTGTGGGGTCGAATAATGAGTTTCCGGCTCTATTTTCAACATCTGAAAATTACACCTGGATAAGTGGGGGTGAGGGCGGGGGGGGGGGGGTTGGAGGGGCTCATAAAAACATCTTTGGCGAATCACATCGGCCTCCCTGGCACTCAACGGGCATGACTGAGCGTGCTCGCAGATTCAGCTGCGAGTCTGCTGATTTTACTATAAGTGCTTATTTTTGACTATGTCAGCAAACAAGTAAATAAAAACAAAACGAAACACAAACAAAAGCAAAATAAAATGTGTCCATGTGCCACATGCAGTTAAGCATTCTCAGCATTTTTATTGCACATTTCTCTGGTTATCTGGCCGTTGACTCTGCTCTCCCATGGGGAAAAGTAAACAACACTTAAGGGGTGGGAAAAGGGAAAAAAACAAAAAAAAAAAAACATTTTCTGCAAAAGCCACATCCAGAGGCGCAAAAGGGATACGTTCACATTTCTGCTTGGTTAAACTGCTGGAAAATGCACCTTCCAACATTCCTTATCTGAAGCTTGGGGGGGGTGGTGGTTAGCAAAATCCTGAAGAGTTACAGAAACACACGGTTTGAAACCAAAATACATGAGCCATTACGTAGTGTTGGGGCCTTAACGTGCCTGTGCCTGTCCCTGCAGAGATCCCCCCCCCAGTCTCACTTGGCCTCACTACACACACTCTGGAGCTTGTCAACGTCCACACAACTGCCTCCACAGCATCTGCAAAGCAGGGTCACTCCCTTGGAGTCTCAATTGGGGGTCTGTCTTCAGGGTGATACACACATCACCTCAGTCATGCCTGGGCTTATACAGGACGGAAGATGAACCCTTCGACGGGGAAGAAAACATGCCTGTGGCCTCCTTTGTTCTGGCGGCTTGGGGGAGAATCTGGCCCCTCCCACCGGCCCACAAACGCACTCCCCCTCCCTCATCCGTCCCTTCCCCTGGCTCAGACGACAGTCTCGTCCGCCGTCTTCTTCAGCAGCGTGGAGGACAGCAGGGATTGTGGGGTGGAGTGAGCCCTCCTGATGTCGGGGATGAGCAGGCGTACTTTCTGGTTCGTCCGTCTCCACTCCGAGTACAGCTGACAGTGGTAGCGGAAGGACACCTACAGAGGCATGCAGTAAAGCCTCAGCATTATGGGATATCCATGGCACATCAGTAAGGTATATTACCTTACCATATACCCAATACCATACCGGCAACAGCAATGGGGAGGACACGGGATCCACCACTTCTGCACATGCTGCAAGGAGGGATGGCACTGGACGTGCAGACTATACAGCTAACCTTCTAGACCAGGGGTGGGCAACCCTGATCCTGGGGTGCCAGGATCCGGCAGGTTTTCCATCCTACCTGATGAGTTACTGTCTGCCTGAGATCAGGTGTGGCTCATCAGAGAGCAGGTAGGATGGAAAACCTGCTGGATCCCAGCACTCCTGGATCAGGGTTGCCCACCTCTATTCTAGATAAAGGTACGTAAAGCTCAGTAAAAAAAGAAGACCACTGCATATATTTTTTTTTATATCTGGATTTTTAAATCCTGATTTAATCCTGGTTCTGCTGGCAGGCGGCTGCATGGCTGGTTACTTCCTGGCTCAACATTTCTAAGGCTGCAGTACCCAAGAACAAAGTGAAGCAGGAGACACTGGGAAAGACCAAAACCCAGCCGGGTAAAGGGCGGAAGTGACTTTCTTAATGGATGACCGTTAACTTATCCGACAGTGTCTCATAAATCGGAGGATGACATCAAGTGACCTTCAAAAGGAACGGGAAACATTAAGTGCAGGTGTGATGTGCACTGCTAGGACAGTTTGTATGAAGCAGGACTGAGGTCCCATAAAGCAAGGAAGAAGCCCTTCATTAATGAGAAACGGAGAAGAACCAGGCTGCAGTTTGCAAAAATACATATTATTCACAGACGTACGCCCATAGAGAAATGAGTGAAACAATTTTTTTTTCCCCATGGCTGTATGAGTCCTCCATGATGTTATTCAGTGACAAAGCAGGTCCACCTGCATCAGCAGCAGGTCTTAAAACAGGCCTGAAAGCTTATCCAAAGCATCAGATATTATTTTTGAAAATGTAGGATACTGTTAGTCATCTAACACGTTTCCTCATTATTGTTTTGCGTGATGTCCCCTGTTGTTTCATGTAGAATAAGTGGTCTGCCACTAGGGGCAGACTTCTGTACATTAATTCAGCTAGCCAGAATGGGTGAAACCAGCCGACAAAGAAATAATATGACGCGTGGACAGTATAAAAAATTAAATGCTATCCAAGCATAGTTAGAGATGGGCAGGATTTGACTGCATGCATGCCATTTGTTTAAGCGTTAAGATATTTTATGCACATAAGCCTGAGTGAGCTGTCTAATGTCAATTGTTTGATATTTTTAATTTCATGCCAAAATTTAGCCGACTTTTGCTGTTGTTGCAGGTGCATCTGCCCTGTGGGTAGCTAAATAAATAGAGCTACATTATATATTATTGTCTCCTCGTCATTTTGCTCACTTAACGTTGCAGGTTTTATTTTTTCATGGTCAGCTGAACAAAATGAGCTTAGGTTAGAACACCATGCTGGGCTGGGTCTGTAGTAAAACATTACAATTAATATTCCAATTTCTTCCGAATGATAAATCAGTCGCATTATAACAATTCAAATGCCTTTTTAAAAGGAGTTTCCCAGCTCTAATGTCAACTGTGACTAAAGGATAGATAACTTATATGTGTTTTTTATTGAGCAAAGCAGTGCAGGCCAGGCAGGTGTTACTAATGACTTTCCTTTGACCCCAGTCGGTTGGCAGCTGGTTTCTTTAGACAGGGAGTGTTCAGTGCACTCACCAGTGTCCAGAGAACGTAGATGGTGAAGAGGGCAATAGTGAGGGCGATGAGGCCCACAGCCTCGAGGCGGCTGTCAAAGTGCAGGTGATCCTGGGCACCCTTCAGACAGAGCCAGCCCGAGATGGCCGCCAGCGGGGTGATGAACAGAAAGCACACCATGTCGCAGAAGAGGGTTCGCTTCTCATTACGGGGCCCCGGGTCCCGCAGCCACTGTGGGAGCAAGGGAAGGGAAGTGAGTACGCTGCAGGAAATCAGCTGTGTCTGTGACCTACAAACTCAGGACAAGCCTGCGCTCTACAACACAACAGAGAAGCTAGAAGAGACTCATGCCACTGACATTACAAGACTAACTTTATGACTAACCTTTTATTTATATATATGACTTGTTTGTACAAGATATGTTTTATTTTGGCATTTTTACTAGATTCAGGGGAATTTTTTGGTTTTGGCATATGGCATATAAGATCAGTAATGTACAGACAGACAGATGCAAGTTAAGCAGATACATAAACATAACAGGGAGGCAGACCGACATACAGACATAACAGCAAAGCACTCAGAGAGACAGACAACAGTGAAGCACCCAGACATACTGATTGCAGAGAAGCACACAGACAACAGTGAAGCACTCAGGGACAGACAATAAAGCACACAGACATCCTGATAACAGTGACGCACATAAACAATAGTGAAGCATACAGACACACAGACATAATAGTAAAGCACTCAGAGAGACAGACAACAGTGAAGCAAAGACATCCTGATTTCAGTAAAGCACATATACAAAATATTGAAGTGTACAGATAGAGTGCTAGAACAGCAGAGCACTTAGAGAGAGACAACAGTGAAGCACACAAACATACTGATTTCAGTGAAGCACATAGACAGACAATAGTGAAGAATACAGATAAACATAAGCATGAATTCAGACAGGTAGGCAGGGCAGGTACCGAAGCATTTACCTCGGTGAGGGCCCGGGGCCGGCGTTCGACACTGAACTCCGTGTGACAGAGCTCGCAGTAACTAGTGTTTGAGGAGGACAGCCACCTCTCCAGGCAGCTCTTGTGCACTGTGCCCAGCGTGCCAGTGCAGTCGCAAGGCGAGAGCAAGCCCTCGGCGCTGGCCCCCTCGTGACAGATCCGACAGATGGGGCCATCGCTGCCGGGAAAGAAAAGCAGGTCGTCAGCGAGGCAACTGATGACCCAGTTTACCCTCAGAGTGTGGATGAATGGGGGGGGGTGGCGGGGGGGGTTTACATCAAGTAAGTAACCCCTGCATACACTCCGCACGTTACACTATCAAAAGGTGTGATACAAAATCGCTCTGTATTTTAAGACTACAAAGGAAGAAAGACAATAATTGAAAAGAAAAAGTGACTAAATGACAGACAGTGAAATGGAGGACTGACACAGGGGTTAGCGGAGGGGGGGCTACCTCTGAGTACCCAGCGATTTGATGACGGTGGACAGAAGCCGGCCATCCTTGGCTGTGACCTGGGTGATGCAGTGTGCCCGCCGGACGTCGGACTCCTCCACGGTCTTGGACAGGGCCACGTTACCCGTGCAGTCACACAGAGAGCCTGGGAGGTGGCAGCACTCCCCTGTTGTCATGGCTGCCCAGACCAGGGGAACTGGGGTGAGCGAGTGGCGAAGGAGGAAGAGGAGCAGAAAGGGTAGGGGCAGCTCCTTCTGAACTGTGGCTCAGATCAGACCTGCCCCTGAGCTGCAATAAGACACAAGGCCAACGGTCAGCTAGGCCCTGGCTGCTATGCCGTTCACTTACTGATAATGATGCTTCATTAGCATTTTGTACACCTCTTTGGTTCTTCCATCTTCTCTTCTACGATAGGTGACTGCAATTTTTGGAGTCCTTGGAGTGGGTCTTAGCATTAAGGTTCTAGCTCAGGAGACTAGCAGTCATATGATTATCAATCAACCAACAAACCAATCAATTTATTTTTGTATAGCGCATTTTTACATTTTACATTTACACTACATTGTCTTACAGGGCTTTACATTGTCCCTGCCCAATGCCCCAGAGAGTAAGCCAGAGGTGACAGTGGCAAGGAAAAACTCCCTGAGAGGAAGAAACCGATGGAGATTATTCTGAAAGCCTCAGGATTCACATTGGTGACCTTTGGGACACAAAAGAGCCTTAAGTAGTGTAATGGTAAGATTGCACAGACAGTAGCCCCCATTTGCCACATGGTAAAAAAAAAAGCAGGGGGTAGATAAGATAAGATGATCCCAGGGTGGTCCAAGGATCAACTCATGTGTCCCACCTATTACACCTGGATGTACTAAAAAAAACTAAGAGGAAAAAGGCTAGCAAAGGTATACAACTAAGTGAATAACAGTCAAGGAGGATATATTTAAAGGGTAAGTTAAGGTTCAGAAGATTCAAAGTAATACCAGAGTAAATGCAATACTGACTTATTAAACATCAATTAATCAGCAAAGTAATTCATTTATGCCTCTGCAGCTCTGATATATTTTAAAACACTTGTGATTAAGTGACGTTTCCCGCAAATTAACATTTCACTAAAATGGATATCAGGCACTGTTCAGCACAAAGGGCGAGGCACTGGTGGCCACGGATCGAGCAGCATGGATCCTGCAGCAAGCACACAGCAGGCCTGCTGTTTAAGGTGGGCCGGTTGTACTCAAGGCCATTTGTCTGCCAGGAGTATTGTTAGCTATTCCTGCACGTTAAGCTCCTACCCTTACGGGCCGGAGACCAGGTGACATGGCTCTCTTTTTCATGTTTGCTTTCTGTGCAGATGTTTTCTCATACACCGGAAGCTAAGCACTTTTACCCCAATCCAGGCCGACGTTTTCGGTAACGAGTGAAAGGAAAAATAACAATAAACGGGTGCTAAGCAAGAGTCGTAACCGATTTACCATGGTGAGCAACGCGTTCAATGATAATTCGTTGTAACGATCTTACTAATCTTTCTACTGTCATCAAAAATATGGCAAAAATTACATTTAAAATATTCAAGCTACTATTCCACACACAAACCTGTCTTATTCCGTACACATTTTAAAAGGTATAAGCATGAACAACACAGAAAAAATAATTTTTACCACATCAAGAATATATCATAATACATGTATAATGCCCAGGTATTGATATGAGAGGTTAAGTACACAATTTGCTATGAAAGGGGTGAATTATCAGTCTTACCTGCTAAATTATTTAATCTCGACAGACCACAGAATAGACGGCGTGTTATATTGCAATTAGGTGCAAGCCAGGTAGCTAATTTGTGGCCTTTTCAATCAAAATGACTCAAATAATATGCGATGTACTGGATTAAGTACTACGAAATCTAGCATGTTAACGTTTTCTTCATGTCGGTATTCAGATATCGAAACACCGGGCCACCGCTGATTAAACGTAAACACAGAGACAGTAACATAACAGTTTAACTCCGATCACTTTTTCCCCACATTAATCCGTGTCGCCGATATCGAGGCGTCAAAATGAAGCCACGGTCGAGTGAGACGCGGTATAAACAACAAGCAGGGCTAGCGATCGGTGCCAAGGCCGTGCGACAGACAGACAGCAGCCAGCCGGCCACCGTCGGAGGACGCCAGGCGTGCTAACAGGCTAACGTGCTAAGGCAGTGCCGCCGTCGCGGCGACACTTTGGCTGGGGAGACAGGGCGCCGCACGCCCATAAACCAATAACATTTCCCCAAAAAAATCATTCGCGCAAAAAGAATCCGCATTCCCTCAATATTTTGCCTGGTTTATACTACATGAAACAGGAATAAAGGTTAGTTAGCTGGCAAACTGAATATACATTCCTGCTGGTCATAGACCGCTGAAAAACAATAATTCTCCAGCGTACGTGAAGAGCTACTCACCGGCACCGTCTCCCCTTTTCATATTTAAGCAGCCACCGCAAGTCTATGCATAATGAGACGGGCACGTAGACCGTGATAACGGCAGGGATACGTCTCCGTCGCGTCCGCGTGCCGCCGCGAGCTCGGCTACAGCGCGCCGCTTCGCAGCTCGCAGTTTCCACATTGAACCTGACGCTGAGGGATGGATGGTGCTGCCGCGCGATGCTGCCGGGGCGTGTGTGCGTGCGGAAACACAATCAAGCGCCACGGAGCAGCGACTCCACACGGCTGCCAAATGCTGTCAGCACATTCCTTTATTATTATTACTTCCAGGAACAAATAATCAATCATTTTGTTTCTAGTACTTTATTCCACTAGTTTTTGATTTCTAAAGTTTAATATATTTACAGTAGCTAAGCCTTTTGCTTCTACTTCTTAATATTAACAAAATAGAATTGTAGACTTACTTCATCCCTGTTGTAGATATATATCGTAGGTTGCTGCATCACATCTCCGCAATTAAACCTTTTCTTTTGTGTGCGAATTTTCTTGGATAGAATTAATTTATCTCAGTGGGGAAAGCAGATTTTTTTTACACATCCCATTTTGCTCTCCATGTGAGAGCAACACATACATACATATACACATGAAAAGTTTGGGGTCAGAGTGCAAAGTTAACCAGCATCCAGCAAGCAGCTGAGAACCTCAGCAAGCTGAGGGATGTAACGAAACATCTCAGCAAGTGTCAAATCAATCCCTCAAGATGTTCTCTAAGTAGCTGTAACAGTAACAGTATGGTGTTTCATAAGATGTGCTTTATCTTAGACCTACCAGTTAAATAACATAAACTCTATATTTGGACATTACAAACATAGAAGAAACACACAGACACAGGTGATTTTTGGCAATGTTTTTTTCCGCCATACATTTTACCATGCACAAATGACATATGTATTTACAGAGTGGATTGCACTTAAAATACAGAGAAAACATACTGAATGACCAGATATAGAAGCAAGTCTTTTAAATGGAAATAAAGCTTCCTTGGGCAAAACTTAAAAATACATTCTTAAAATATAGGATGAAAATTGTCTTGTTGTATGATCTCAGTTGAACCGATTCTGTAGCACGTGAAAATTAGGATAAATTCTGTAAGCTGATGTTCTCTGGATATCTATAGAATAAAGATGTTAAAATGTAAGGCAACAAAACTGAATGTTCACATTCAAGCATGTTCAAGGTAAAGCATCACTGAATGGCCTATCAGCATACAGTAAATGTACTTCTCTACTTTTGTTCTATGCCACAAAATCATCTAGCTGTCCTTTCATTACCCCAGTAGTAATTTTTTGCATATAGGCACAGCTTTGCTATTAACTGAAAAGCATGTTATGGTTTTGCACTGATAAAGACCACATTTAAACCTAGTTAGGAGCAGACTGCACATCCATTTCCCCTCAAATAAGTTACCAACCATGTGTGTTCTGAATCCACTAGCTTGCCTAATATATTCCACAATAGATTAATGGCATGCAAAAGAACAAGGGCAATCATATAGCAATCGTTAACTTAGCAAATAAGGCGTCAAACTGAGAAATGTCTAAAGAAATGTTTTGAAAAAAAAAGCTTTTGAAGACATGAAGGACTCTCAATGTATTGTCAAGTAAGAGTTGATGGAGGGTAAGTATACAGGTGGACATAACTCATGGTCACTTTAAAATATTAAAATGCATTTTTAAATAACTCATTTATTGAAATTAATTTTATTTGATGATAGGGGAAATTGACTGGCAGGACACAACCCACACATTCTGCAAAACTGCAGAACAATTTGCAAAGAGAAAAAGGCATGTGGCTTTTTTTTTTTTTTTTTTTAAGAATGCATTATTAGTTTTGGAAAAAGTCACAACTTCACAAATGTTTTGATTTTGACAGTTCAGTGTGTGGATGAGAATTAAAGACTGTAGATGAATGCAGCCTCCCTTTGGCATTTCTGTGTATCAGGACAAGACAGTGATTCATTCAGCAGCCTTTTCTTCTCAGAGTCATCCAGAAATTAAATATTACTAAAGAAGCCTCACATTTCACTCTCTGTCCAGGTCCCAGGGCCCGGAGGATGTGACGGAGGGCCTGGCAGCTCACATGCCAACCCCTCACCAGAAGGTCACCTGGAGCAGGTCAAATCTGTGCCCGTTTTCCCAGTGCCACTTGTAAAATTTTGAGGTAAAGAAATTAAGGTTTAAGAGGGGAAGAATCCTACAAAAAATGAATGATAGAGAAACTGGCCATAAAACTACAGCCACGATAAGAAAAATGGTCTAAAAATGACATGAGATATAGCAGCACAACACTTGGGAGCAAAGCACAGACGTCTAGTGTGTGGAAACAGCAGGGAGAGAAGGGAACGAGGGGTGTGGCAAGGGGTCCTGAACAAGGACGTGGGTCACAGGTTCTGGCAACACTGCAGCTTGCTGCCCCTTTGGCCATCAGTGGTAGGGGGCACGCTGATGTCCACTACGTTGTTGCCCGGAGACTCGTCGTGCGCTGACCGGTCAGCGATCTGTTTCTGTGAAACGATGCGGTAGATCTCTGCAGGGGACACGGAAGTCGTCAGTCAGCGATGACTGCGCTTACATTGGTGAAGGAAAGAATGATGCTTCATGAACCGGTGTGTGTGCAGGTTTTTGGGATAACCTGTAGGGCAGCTGTTCAAACCCAGGTGTGAGGACTCTTCAGCCAATCAGTCCTCTAATTAGTAATCTGATTAGGGAGTTGCAGCGAAAACCCACATACACACCGGCCCTTTGCGGATAAGATTGGCCACCCCTGCTCTAGATGGTGCTCTCTGTTCAGAAAAGGGCATTAAGCGTGCCCCAAAGCAAGCCAAGAGCACCATCTAGTGGGGTCAAAAAGTACAGCAAATGGTTCATGAGGTGCCGTTTTGTCCATCACTAGCTTACATATGGACTGAAACTCCTGCTGCAGTAGCTGCATGGTGGTCTACAAACTGGACCCTCAAGTTCTCCAGATGATCTACATCTGTGACTAAGAAGGTTAAAACAACTATGGGCGTGACTGCAGGGCAGCTGGTGCTGCAAACTGGCCCCACGCCGTACCTGTGAGGATGTTCTTGAAGGCTTCTTCAACATTAGTGGAGTCCAAAGCTGAGGTCTCGATGAACGACAGATTATTCTTCTCTGAAGGCACAAGAGGGGAAAGCAGGAGGTGAGCTGCCGGAGAGTGGCCCGTGAGCACGCCGAGCACCCCCCCAGGCTGGCGAGGAACACACTTTACCTGCAAAGGCCCGTGCCTCGTCGGTGGGCACGGCCCGTAGGTGCCGTAGGTCACTTTTGTTGCCCACCAGCATGATGACGATGTTGTTGTCCGCATGGTCGCGCAGCTCCTTCAGCCAGCGTTCCACGTTTTCATAGGTCAGGTGCTTGGCGATGTCGTACACCAGCAGGGCCCCCACCGCACCCCGGTAGTACCTATCAAACACAGAGCGGCTCAGATGCTGCGACACACACTCACTCGCCACTCAGAAAGCCCCCCGCATACTAACCTCCCCCCCCACCCCCGCCGAGGCCGGCCGTACTCACGCTGATGTGATGGCCCTGTAACGCTCCTGCCCGGCCGTGTCCCAGATCTGAGCCTTTATTGTCTTGCCGTCCACCTGGATGCTGCGAGTGGCGAACTCCACCCCGATGGTGCTCTTGCTCTCCAGGTTGAACTCGTTGCGTGTGAAGCGGGACAACAGGTTGCTCTTCCCCACGCCAGAGTCTCCAATCAGCACCACTGAGACATGATAGAGACAAAGAGCGCTTGTAAGTAACCGTCACACTGTATTACAAATACCAACCAAACATATACAACTCAATACTCCCACGGCTTGAGTCACGAGGCCGTCTTAACAAGCGTTCTTCTAAAGACACCGTAATCATCTACAGACTGACATATTAACCGAGGAACTGACAGAAGAGAGAAACTAAAAGGACTTCAAATGAAACAGGAGATTACAGAAAAGTTAGTATAAGCGTATGCAAAGATCAGCATCATGGTCATTCTCAAGTAATTCAGATATTTCGCAACAAATGTAACAAGTTCTAGGGCAAAATTGTACACACATCTAAACTGATCTAATTTATTTTGAATTAGACAGGCATTATTAGAATGTCACATTTGTGCTCATTTGAAGCCATTTATTATTTTTAAAGAGCATTTACTTCAAGTAGATTCAGGTTATAAAGTATTATGTGTATGGTAACAGAACAGGGAATATCTGCCGAGGTATGGCGAACATTACTGAACTACAGTGTTCAAGACAGGCTCCATAACGAGCGTCAAGACCAGTCAACACCGACATCTTTTCACAATCACTGGTCTATCAGCATCACACATTCACATCGTGCTAAATATGATTCATGTCAGAGATATGGTCACCCAGTCTCCTGCTAATCACAAGGGACGGGCTCCGGGATCTTCTGTTAGTTGAACATTTACTTGTATACTGACACTGCAGTAGTATGCAAGATGTCCATGTAAAACAACACTCCATAGCCGGCCAGCTGTGCTGCAAGCCCAGCCAAGATGCCAGTGCATCTAAAACGTTTCCAGGTATTTATAAACAAGAAGGGATCCGCATCTTCACCGATGGTATCAAAACACAATCCCTAAATCACCAGCATTAGATATTGCCGTCAGTTACCTGCCTGTCCACCCTGTAACAAGCACAGCAAACGGACGTGGCCCTTGGCAGCCAGCTACCGGCACACCTGGTAAATAAAGTCACCCCGGTCAGCCAGACAGCTAGCGGGCTAATGTGCTTTAGCCAGCTGGCTAACATTTAGCTTGTAGCCCCCGTGGATCGAAGCATAATGAGATCAAAACAAACTAACGATGGAGCGAGACGGTTGGTACGTTTAGCTACACAGCTAAGCGATGCTCTTGTCGTTAACTGGCGCAAAACTCAGCCGGTTACCACTAACGGTCGCGGATACGGGAGGTAAAAAAAAAACATCGGCGGCAGGCGCTGGATGACGGTGGAAAACAAACCAGCCCGGCCGCAGGAGCTCGTGTTTTACTGTGTGAAATACGCCGAAGCGCAGCTTCCAGGGCCGCCGCTGGCCCGCTAATCATGGCGGGTCCCGCTTCTCGGCCAAATCTCCGCCCGTTACCGGTCCCCAAACCTGCGCGCCCATTCCTTCTTGTGCCCCCTCACCTTTGAATAAATAGTCGTATTCGTCGTCCCGCGTCCCCATCGTGTCACCGTCCTGCTTCAGGAGCACAACGCCGCTTCTCGGTATAGCCGCCGGCAGGAAACCGAAGAGCCAGAGGGGCGGGGCCTGACGATGAATGACAGCTGCGCCGGCCAATAACTGGCCAGACTGACCTTGACGTATCTCTGCTCATCATAGAGCAATCCTGAATTTTTATACGGAGTGTGAAATGTACGCCAAATAAAAACACTCATTATGAACATGCGATTCCATATTAGTTACATTAACTAAAAGTAAATATAGTTATTATTTATAACAATTTAGTCCGTGCGGCCCTGTACTGGATAAACAATTAGTAGATGTATAACATAACTAATACAGAATCATATAATTTAATATAAATATGCATACATATAAATGTACTTAAAATGTTGCAAATGGGTTTTTAAGTTAATCAAAATGACCTAATTCAGGCGTTTTAAAAATTCAGTTAAATACTCTAACGTGCGGCACTTAAAGTTGGATTTAAAAGTCCGCCCATTTTATAACCCCCTACCCTGGTCAGGTTTGCATCAGGCAGCATAGGCCGGTGTACACCGGGATGCCAGTTCATTTTGTTAACAGAAAAAGAGCTAAAAGTTCATAAGTATTAACAAATCATTTCAGCATAGCAATAGATACAGCGATATTATAATTTTGATACTTCGATCCCCTGAAACTTCCGCAGGGGCGTCTAGTTTTTGCATTCGTGGAACTTTTGCAGGACTACCTGTGTATCTGAGAGTATTGCTATTGCAGATAGCTATTGGACAGATAGTTAATAAACGTAACTGTCCATAAATTTACACGGCATTTCCAAGTTATCTTTTTGAAATGTTTTCAACAGGTGTTACACACGGATCCTCGCAGGAATATCTTTTGGCCACCAGATGGCACTAGTTACTCCAGTCCCCTAAAAACAATAAAATCGGAACTTTCACACTGACTAGTCCGGCAGCGTTTCTACTATGACAATTTTGCACATATATACATAGCAATTAAAAGAAAGGCAACCGTATTTTTTTTTTATGATTTTATTATTTTTTCCCTAATGTCATTATTTTTGAATGTACATGGTATATACATATTTTTGAAAAGTAATACAACTGTAAGTTATTACAGTAGTTTGGTTTAGTTACTGTTTTCAGGGATAATTATAATTACCGGGTGCTACACGTTCTACAGAGAAAAACAGTCCAATATAATAAATAAAACTGAAGAACAATAATACGGCATAGTTATATCAGAAATGATTACTTCTCTGTCCCTAAGATAAACAACACACCACCAAAGGTAAATCCCACCAAGATCAATAAGTAAAAAGAAAAATAAGCATAATAATAGTATTTTACAAAAAAAAAACACAATACAATTAGCCACAATATGGGCAAATAACCAGAATTCACAGCTTTTAACATCTTTGTGGAAAAATGTTAGCCTTATCCTAAACATTTATTTAAAAATAAGTAAAATGCATCAGTTATTTTGACACACTTATTTATATACTTAATGCATAATCAAGGGGAATTTTGCAATGCAGTGCAAAACATGTAGAAGTATATACACATCCGAATTATCCAAAAGGTAGAACACTCCACTTTCAGCCATAATGCATAATTCACTCTTCACATATTCGTAACAGTTCAGTATTGGTCATTTTCTGCACAAGTTCAGACCCAGCTCCTGTATACAGTACATGAGAACAACAGGAAACGTCTCTGAACAGCAGTGGTCATTAAAGTCATTAAGACGTTTCCCCCTTTTTAAAATTAGTATTGCTGCTGTGTTTAGAGGCTTCATGCAACCAACCGAGAGACGGTTATAATAGTCATGTTTTTGCGTTTCTTTTTTATTTCTTTACATACAGTACTTTTAACTGACAGAATGTCTACACAGATTTTAGCTGAGTAGTCTTTACAGTACAATGAGCGGTAATGAAAAAGCATCACGGTAGTTATAGGGACTCTCATGAGAACATTTCCGAAAATGTGGGGAAGAAACGACCTTTATTTTACAGCATGTCATTGACACCAGCACGAGAAAGACAGCATTTCCCACTTGCATACTGAAGTTACACAGTCTAAGTTATTCATAAGAGGCAAATGTTTCAACACACAAATACACTATTTTATATAAGAAGCGTTTTTATTCTGAGTTGATTCTGGTCTTTACAGTTAAAACACAAAATATCCATCTATTTACATCAAGGCATAAATAGATAGGTACATACATAATACATACATGTTCCCAATGCACATATTCACATGATATCATGCTATGGAATCCCAAAGAGGGTACACAGCATTTTGAAAACGCACATATGTGTACACACAGACACACGCACTCGCATACATGCGTACAGACACAGGGCTGGAGAGCACAGCAGTACGCATATCCAGCAAGCCTGGAGTTAGGACTGGTTTACAAACAAAAATATTCATAATCTGAGTTATGTACAGAAATTATAGCTGCATCTCAATATGAAGAGTACAGGAAATCCACTGGGATCTTAATTCTTCCTAGCACAAATAAAATAGAGCATTCTCTGTCTCAAATGAAAAATATATATATATTTATACGCATAATGTACATTTCTTGTTATATACACGTCTCGAGGACTCCATTATTCAAACATGGCTTGGAAATTCATGTTAGTAAAAGGGGCATCTTGCTCTTCTGTGTATCGATAAGGCAATCAAACTGAAGGGCCTTAGCCTGCACATGTGCAATGTTAACACTGACATCGCATGTTATGCACATGCAGTTGTCACACTGCAAGGACCTCGATAATCAGCTGGGTTGACATTAGGCTTGGGCAGTATCACATTTTTCACAATGTCATCAGGACATTATAGCCTGGCATACAGTATTTTGACATTATCTTAAAAATAACATTTGCCGAGCGAGTGGGGGGGGGGGGGGTCCCCCATGATATGATTTGTCGAACAGAAATCAGTTTCGCTATAGCATTTTTACTCTGTCATAGGAACCCACACTTTGCAAGCTTTGCAATTCGAATGATTGTTCCTTCTCAAAATTATTTAGTAGGCCTAAAAATAATTAGTGTACGGTTAGCCGCTGCGTCTTGTCCTTGCTGTCGACTCGCTCATGGAAAGCGAGGCGTGTTAGTGAGAAATTTAACAAAACAAAAAAAAGAGTGAAGAGGAGGAAAGAAATGGAACAAAACCTGCTTACCAAAAGACATTCGTCCTCAGCTGTATCAAAATATTTTGGATTCCACAGAGATGATTTAGAGCAAGAGCAAGTGCTTTGTCGGCACTGCCGTGTGCCAGTCGGCACTGCCTTGCGGCAACATCACCAACTTATATAATAGATTCTACTGATAGATAAGTTCTATTTGGATATAGCTTAGTTTGGGTAATTTTTCAATTCATTTTTTGTTTTCTAAATATTGCAATATTTATCGCAAAAAAACATATGACAATATTTGAAACGTTTCCAAAATCATGCAACCCTAGTAGGTACCATACATATGTGTAAACACACATATATGCAAACACACTCAATTTTGTTGTAATTAGTAACTGATCAGTAACTGGTTGTTTTGCCTAAACCTCATTCAGGTGAAAAAAATATTTCAACTGCATGGTATGGAGGAATGCAATGCTGTTATTGAACACTGGACTTGTACATTTTACACAGAACAAAACCAGCCTATCAAACAGAGGGGCAGAGTCGATGCATTGTCACGAACAGCTGAAACAGCACTCAAACACTGACTGATTTTGCGAAGAGCAGCTGAAATACATGGACAGACATGACCTATAAGCCGTGATAGAGACCATGGTGAGGAACGTGTGAGACGCCAATCGAAACATGGTGAGGATTCGCACAGAGGGGTCGAGAGAGGGCCTTCCATCCAGCGTTTGCGCAGCTGCCCCATTACTCTTTTTCAATCCCCTAAAGGGTGGGCCGATGCCACCTGCCACGGACGGCTGCCTATTGTGTGTCACCTGCCATGTTTACCACCAAGACGCTTTGAGAATGCCTTGGTGCACGTCTCCAAAACTAACCCACTCCCTGGAAGATTAATGATGGTCTGACTTTGAAAATATAATACTCCGTTTTGCATTGCGGACACCAATGTCACACATGCTCAGGCGAGGATGAAGAGTGGAGCAGGGTCTTAATATTCAAGATATATTTTATAATTATGGTTATAAAGTTATACACATTATATAAATACCTAATATTTAAAAATAATGTTTACAGATCATAAATGAGAATTAAGACATAAGTGATGAATTACTACAAAAATGCCCGAAAAATGCAATGAGTTCCTAAAACGAAAGACACCACTTTGGAGGCAAATCTTCACATTTTTTGCTAAAATTCTTTTAAAAGGGGGCGAGAGCTTTTCCTTCCACGAGGCTGAACTGATGTTCCTCTAAAAACCAGAACAAAACAAAAATCTTTACAATAAAACCATTCCGATAATCTGTAGCTCACACATGTTTTATGGCATACAGTGTTATTAAAATATTCACAGTATTAAAATATGTTTGGAAAATACACAAAAACCTTTTATACAAACACCTTCCTGTAACTCGCATGCCGGTCAGAGAGGGGGCGCTGTTGGAACAGGTGTGACCATATGCTGAGGGGAGGGAGATGCACTTTTGGATTAGGCTGGAATTCCCATCCACCATGTACATATGCACACATAACGACAAGGGGCATGGATCGGGCTATTCCAGACCTCCCATTCACACCCCCCAGGGCCACCCGGCCACCTCAGACCCCTCTGACGGCTCCATCTGTAGCGGCAGACCTGGCTTGGCTTCTGTAGCAGTCAGGTTTACTGCGGGGAGGGCAGAGAGACGAGCGTCAAGTGCTGAATCAACCACTTCATGAACAAAAGCAGCCAATCATCCAGGGTCGCCAACTTCGTTCAGCTGGCTGGAGTGAGATTTTCAACTCGAGACCAGTCTGCACACACATGCACAAGCGTTTACACGTATGTGACAGTTTTACTGCCTTGTAAATAGTCTGTAGGGTTTGCAAACTACCCCAGCGCTTTTGAAGTAGCTAATTTTAGGTTTATAATGGAATAAATCAGATTTGCCATAAGATGTCTTGCGTGAGAGTCACGCCAGATGCGCGAGAGTTGGCGACCCTGATCATCTTGAAATCATACTGACAGGTACAGAATACAGGCACAGAATACAGGTACAGAATACAGATCAGAGAAATAAGTCCTCAGTGCTGCTATTATTGTACCACCCTGACTGACAGGGTGAAGAACAGTGACCTGAGAAACACCGAATCTGCTGGTCTGGGCAGGACTGAACCGGATTACTATTAAACTTGAATCAGGCAGAGTCTGTTTTTACTGTTTGCTTTGAGGGTCACTGCAAAGACAATGCAGCTCACATGATGTCTGGCACAGTGTGTCGTTTCGGCCTAGTGTCAAAACGATCATAAGGCCGTCCAGGACAGAGGAAAACGACACAGGGGAAGGCCTGGTGGGGATCCCTGGGGTGGAGCAGATCTGACCCCAAGCTGGGGGGAGCAGCCTGAGCCCCCGCCCTCAGCAGGGTGACTCAGTGATAGGCTGACTCACTCAGAGAGCCGGCAGGTGACAATCACAGCCTCCCGTGAGCCGTGAAATGAGGAAACGCTCGTGGCTACGAGTGACGGTACGACTTACATGCGGGCAAAGTCTGTGCCCACCCCAGCCTCACTGCCGGTCTGCCTCCCGGCTTGCCGTAGTTCTACTCGGAGGATTTACCACAGTGTGCCGAAGGAGCAGTGTGCGAGGGGCCAGGCCTGTCTCTGCTCCAGTGCTGTGCTGTGTCCGGGTGCTGTGCAGTGCAGTGCAGTGCTATGCAGTGCAGTGTGGTGCTATGCAGTGCAGTGCTGTGCTGTGCTAACAAAGCGGGCAGAGTTTGGATGTCTGAAACTGAATTCATGCATTCCTGTTCTCAGGTCAGGCCAATCCCTGTTCACTGCCTGGAGCTGTTTCTTTGTCCTGTGACTTGACCAGGAGAAGCAGTTAGAAGGTAGATGGAAAGATGGGTGTCTTTTTTTCTCCCGCTCCGCTTCATTGTGCTTGGGTCCCCCACACCCAGCCCCCCCCCCCCCCCCCACCATCCACCCTCCACTCACACCCACAATTTCGTGGGGGAAACATTACCGGCCCGTATGAGGTCGCACCTTGCGGGGGAAAAAAAGTGGGTCACGGCAGGAGGAGCCGAGCCGAGGCGACCAACCATTTCCTGTGGATTCGTTTTTAGCAAGGGAAATAAAATTTGGTAAAGGGACGAAAGATAAACAACGGTGAAGGCCATCGATTAAAGAAAATGGTGGAGTCAGTGACAGGTAGTGAAAGGGGAAGGAGGAACGCAACAGCGCAGGAAATGAAAGCAGCAAACAAGAAAAAAAAAAACACTGTTAAATGCAAATTGAGACGGGGGGGTTAAGGCACCTTATGGACAGGAAGCGTGCAGGAAAGCCCAGGCACTTACGCTCTCCCTGTCTCTGTCTGACATGGACCAAGACTCCGTGCCATAGTGCAGAGGAGAGTACACCCAACTGTCCTCGGGAGGCTGCTTAGGACAACAGGGGGCGCCAGAGGAATCGAAAGAGAGAGGGGCAGACAAAAACAAACGAAAACAAAACAAAAACAAAACAAAACAAAAAAAGGAGCATAGGGGAAAAAAAGATGAGAAGTGAAAAGAGGTGAATGGATGGACTGTCTCCCCCGGTAACACCTGCGTGTTTCCCACACAGTTAACAGAATCAGCATGTAATACGACAACATGAATCGTTTAGAATATCTTACATGTGCTGTTTAACATACTTAAAGTAAAAAAATAATCCTAGTTATTTGCTAGTCTTAAATTCATGCAGCAATAGAAGGTAGCAATAAAATATTATATATGTATGTATATAAATAATATAATATAATATAATATATATATATAAATCTGTCCTCTGAATTCCTTAGAAGTCATAGCTGACGAGCAGCAAATCATTAAATGAACAAACACTTTATAGATATTGTCACATCTGGGGGACAAAGGGGAGAGCAAACGGGCAACGCGATTGGTGGAAACAGGAGCGGCACACTTTGCACTGATAGGCTGGGAGTCTTCTATGCTGTGCCAGTGACGACACGCTGTCACGATGGGTCAGTGTCAGGGAGCCCACTGAGAATCCCACCAGCAGAGCAGATGGTTCCAGCACAGCACCCCCCCCCCCCCCCCCCCCCCGCAGTCTAATAGCCGGAGCGCTTTCGTCCTCCACATGCACACGGTCACCCTACGAGATTCAGCGGCATCGTCACTGTCACGTCAGTACGGATAACTAGGCCAAAAAAATTAGGCCATTTTAAAAATAGCACATTATTCGTGTAATCAGATGCCGTCCACCAATAATCCTGATCTTTCACTTCTGCCAATCACATGTAATGACAGATAAGATGATAGTGAGTGATAACTGGTGACTTATGGTGCTGAAACGCTGTCACAGGACACGTTAAAGTCCGGAGCAAAGGCAGAATGAGCGTCGTCTGGGGAGAAGTCAAAAAGGATGGGGAGCGATCAGAACTGGCCGCAGAAAATCAGAAGGCGGGAGGGGTTAGGCCCTCGAGCTGGAGAGCGAGGGGACATGCAGAGACTGTAAAAACCAGGACAGATAAACGGACAAAGAAAGAAAGAAAGAAAGAAAAAACAACAGGCCATGAAACAGAAGCTACAACCAGAGCCAGGAAGGGAAAAGCGGGAGAATTTCAAACACCCGCAAACAGAGAGACTGGGTTTGTTTGGTGATTAAGTGAGGGCCGGAAACAGCCTGTGCCGCAGACAGAGTGTAAATGCAGGTCCCGGGGGGGTGAATGGAGAAGTGGGCCGGGCCTTCCCACCGGAGCTCTACCGGCGAAACGTGACCTACACTTAATGCTGCTGGCACCGCAGGGCAGAGCTCAGGTATGGGCCCGTGTTCTGGTACCACGTCACTTCCCCGCCTTCACCGTCACCCCCAATGAGGATCCGCAGAAGGCAGCCAGCCACTGAAGACTGCCATTGCTTTCTGGATCCACAGGGGGAGCCGATGAGCCGGGAGAAATGGAGGCTGGGCTCTCTCTCGGACACGTGCCCCCGCCCCCGCCTCCGCCCCCATGACGCCGCCCTGGGCCAACGTCGCCACCTGCAGGCTGAGCATCTGCTCCCGCCCGCACTCCTCACGACCACATCAGCCCCGAAGCACGAGTGAACACCAACGAGGTCAGCTTTCATCCGACAAGCGGGTATTTCTTGTTTTCATATCGTACGGCCATGTCGAATTTCAAGGAAATGCCCGTGACGACGTCAGGGTAGCTGATAAACACTCATTTTACACAACATTAAAGTACAGTAATAGTAAATACTCATGGGTATTCATATACTCATTATGGGATGTAGGAAATACGGGCCATTTGCATGTACGCAGTGAGTGGCAGTTTATACACGATCCCCGCAGTGTGAATGGTGCCCCCACAGGCCAGCGAGTGCGCTTACGATGAAGATGTCGCTGATTGGCACGTCGTCCTCCTCCTCCGCGGAGGCTTGGCTGGCGCATTCTGACAGCTGGCTGGTGACGTCGGGCTCTTCGGTCACGCGGGGGCTGGATGGCGCGGGGGCGGTGGGGGCGGGGGCCTCAGCTTCGGGCGGCTGGCTGCGTTTGCACACAGACACGCAGGGCCATGGGAAGGGGGGAGAGCCTCAGGCTACGTGTGACTGTACCCACACATGTGCTATGCAGAAGTTAAACTTTCCAAAGTCACTCCCAGGAATAGCCACTGTGTGACTGGCACGGGGTTTTCATACACGCCCTGCAGGCCGGCTTCGGTGCCAAGTATACCTTAGCACCGCATGCTATCAGAGGACAAGACGGGTTCGGTACAGAGACGGCACCCAGATGGCTGATTCCACACTCCCCAAGCGCCGGCACCCCCCCCACTGCGCCGACAGGCCCCTCCCCCAGAACAGCCTCCTGATCTAGGTCTCCCCAGCTTTCTGCATTCTCTCTCAGCCTCTCTGCTTCCTGCCGACTCCTCCCCCCTCCAGACAGAGAACCCCGCCCCTTGTCGGGGTCATGTGACAGGCTGTGTACCTGGTTTCCGGGGAGGCTGCGGGGGTGCTGATTGTGAGCTCACTGCTGGGTCTCTGTGTCTCCACCTCCACTGTGATGGTCTGCTGGTCTTCCTCACGGACACCAGGCTCCTCCTGAGCCCTGAACAGGGAACAGAGACAAGCCTCCAGTGGATGGTCAGGCGCACGCACACGCACACGCACACGCACAGGCAGCTGTACTGAATCTGCAGCCTGTGTGCTGTATGCTAACAGTGCATGATGAACATCTCCTGGCTTTTCAGATGCTTCACGTGTGTGTGGATCAGTGAATGACGTGTCTTCAATGATATAAATGAAATCAGACGTTCAGCCAGAAGATCAGACCTCCTTGACATGTTTCATGCATGATTCCTACCTGACATCCTGATTGGATGCTTGGGGGTGTCTCCTGCAAGTGGGAACAGAGGGAGGGGCTGAGTGCACCCTGACTGCGGGCTCGTTTGTGTCCGTCTGTGTCTCTGTCTGTCTGTCTGTCAGTGTCTGTGGCTCTGTCTGTCTGTCTGTCTGTCTGTCAGTGTCTGTGGCTCTGTCCGTCTGTGGCTCTGTCCGTCTGTGTCCGTCTGTGGCTCTGTCCGTCTGTGTCCGTCTGTGGCTCTGTCCGTCTGTGTCCGTCTGTGGCTCTGTCCGTCTGTGGCTCTGTCCGTCTGTGGCTCTGTCCGTCTGTGGCTCTGTCTCTGTGTCCGTCTGTGTCTGTCTGAGCCTGTATGAGGATGTCTGTGTCTCTGTCTGTCTGAGTCTGTCTCTGCTTGTTTGTGTCTCTGTTTCTCTGAGTCTGTCTCTTTGTGTCTGTCTGTATCTGTCTTTGTCTCTGTATATCTGTCTGTCAGTCTCTGTCTGTCTTTTTACCTCCATCTCTGTTTGTCTGTTTCTCTTTGTGTCTGATTTTCTCCCTGTCTGCGTGTTTCTGTGTGTGTCTGTCAGTGTGGTGGGGGGCAGAAGAGGTCAGCACCTGTAGCGGAGGCGCTCAGCGTCCGGAGGAGAGCGCTCGGGGTTGGTGAGGGAGGTGGTAGAAGACAAGGTGGTTGCAGCTGAGGCCATCATCGCCTCCTCAAAGGAGGGAAGGGCGCAGGGCAGGAGATCCGGCCGGACTGGGAGACACGGACACGGGGGTCACTCTGCGCTCCTGGGGTGCCGCTAGCCGATGCGAGAGTGCGGCGGGCAAACGCAGGGCGGGGGCTCACCCTCGTTCTCCAGCGTGGGGAAGCTGTGGGCGCCCCGCAGGTCGTACATCTTCTCGTCCTGCTCACAGGGCAGCTGGGAAGCCGACCATGCCGCCCCGGGCCCCGGGTATTTGGGGACAGTCAGAGCAAGGCGTCCCTTCTTGGAAGGCGACGATTTCAAGGCTGGAGATGCCAATCGGAGCAAAAAGCATCCAATTAACAACCGTCTCCTGAACCATAACTAGACTCTTTAACTTGTGTATAATGCAATTTGTATAATTAGAACGCAATTCCATTTCTAAATAATGCTTTACTAATTAGATCATTATACACTTTAACAATCAATTTAAAACGCTGCTGTACTCATCAAGTCCGGGGTTGCATTATAATAATGAGAGACACTTTCTAAGTGTGCTTCAAAGTAATTTAACATAAACACATTAAACGCACAAGTGAGAATAATTTAAAATGTGTCCTGTACACTGTGTTCCTTAGAGCTGCGTAAGACCCCTTATGTGCAGAGTGAGCTGTCCTGGGTGATGGGACACACAGCCTAGGGGACACCCCCCTGGGGACACTCACAGGAGTTCTTCTTGAAGACTGTGTTGCTCATGAACCTGAAAAATCTGTCTGCGTAGAAATTAGGCCGGTGGACCGAGACCGTGTCCTGCAGAGGGACAAGAAAAAAAAAATGTTATTAAATGAAATATAAAAGCCCTGGTTTTCAGAAGCCATTCAGGAATAACATGTTGCACTGCTTGCGGTCATCAGAGCCTGTGTATGACACCCTCACACTGAAGGGCCAAGGGAACCAGGGGGGGTGTTGTGGGCACCATCCGTGCCCAAGGAGGGGTACAGGGTGGCACCAGAGGCAAATGGGCTGTTCTCAGGGGGTCATTTGGGGAGAGTCGCTAAACACCCTCAACCCCTCCAAGACCCATCAGTTAGGTCACCGTGACTTTGCTCTGCTCAGACACTGTCACTATAAGCAGAGAGCCATTTCCCATTGGCCCCTTGAGCACGGCCCCTAACCCCCCGCTGCCCCATGGACAGGCTGACCCTGAAAGTCTCTGCTTGATAAAAATGTAACTCAATGGTTCCTGCCTAAGGAGCATAACAAGGATCTAAGAGCCAGGCGGGATGCCCTGAAGACCCTCTACGCGCTGAAGACCCTCTACATGCTGAAGACCCTCTACGCGCTGAAGACCATCTACGCGCTGAAGACCATCTACGCGCTGAAGACCATCTACGCGCTGAAGACCCTCTACATGCTGAAGACCCTCTACGCGCTGAAGACCATCTACGCGCTGAAGACCCTCTACGTGCTGAAGACCCTCTACATGCTGAGAAGCAGGGTCTCTCTTCAAAGAGAGAAGGTCATGCTCCTCCCTCTGAGCAGGAAGAGCAGACGTCATTCCGCGGAAGGTCATTAAGGACCGGCGGCCGAGCACCTCCCTGTGACATCATCAGGCCGCCGCAGGCCCAGCCGCGGTTAGCAGAGGTCTGTGTGACACGGCGGCAGAACCGCAGAGTCAGTCACAGCCCGGGCGACTATAATGTGAGAGGGTGAAGAAGCTCATGGCCCCAGAGGTGCAGGGTGAGGTCACTCTAAGGGGATCCCCGAAACGAGCCAAGACAACAAGCCATGACATGAAGACTCACCCCGTCGTGAACGAGCGCTTTCCACGTGTGCTCCAGCTTCTTTATCAGTCTTTGAGACGGACGGACGGACGGACAGACAGACAGAAAGATAAATACAAAGGTTACTTAGAAGATGAACAAATTTATCACCTGCCAGCCAAAGCAGAAAGTTTCCTCCATTAGAGGTCGGGGGGGGGAGGGCATAGTCACCTGTATGACTGCAAGATGTCGATGATTCCAATGAAGAGCAGCAGTCGCTCCCCCTTGCCGTTGACAGCCGGGATGCCGCCCATCCTGGACGGACACAGGAAGCACAAGCCACCGCGTGAGCCTGGGACCCTCGGGGTGGGGGGGGGGGGCAACGGCCCGATGCAGACAAGAAGCCAAAGCACTTTTGATTTAGACCTGAGCTGCCATGAGTCAAAGACCGTGCCGTTCTCAATGTCTCGTGCGACACTCAGCCGGCGAGAGCCGATCCAAGATCCACGAGACCCTCCCGCAGATATCGCTCTAAATCAGCGCGATCAAAACAAGCAGCTTCTATTCATCTCCACGGTTCCCTTCATACATCATCGTCCACGGCTTTTTAATTCAGTGCAGAGCTCAGCCTGAAGCCAATCTCAGGACACACAGGGCAGGGGACGCCCTGAACGGGATTTTAAGAGATGCCAGCTTATTTAACCACAGGGTTTTGGACTGTAGATGGAACCTGGAGGACATGAGGAAATCCAGACAAAGGAGTAAACCTCACAGCCACCGGCGTGGGACTGGAACCTGAAATTCGGGTTAAGTGTGAGGCTACAGTCAACATGCTATTATTACATTTATGCCATAACAATGACATAATCAGTGAAATGATACTGTGAGGTCACACTGCAGGGTGCCCGGCAGAGAAGCGGAGACTCACGTGTTGTCGGTGTCGACGGACTCCCCACAGGACGCGCCCCCCTGGATGGACTCTATGGCGGTGGAGTACAGGGCCTTCTGGGTGATGGGCCGCTTCTCGTCGCCGACGTCCTGTGAGCCACCCCCCTCCGGCTCACGCTCCGCCAGATCCATGTTGTGCACCCCCAGCAGAAGGCTGTAGTCCATGATCTTGAAGCTCTCGAGGACCTGGATCATGAGGAGCAGCAAGGTACTCTAGTTACCTGGAATGCCAGTGCGAACTGCAGAACCAGCCGACACACCACTGGCTGGCTGGACATAGACCCTGTAGGGCAGTGCTTCTTAACTGGTGTAACCTCAGGCCCTGCAAATTTCCTTGGGCGTTGAGGGTGCTGCCGGTTACATTTTCCAACCAGCAATGGGATCCAGTAACTACTGTAGGTGACCCAGGGACTAGATGACCCAGGGACTAGGTGATCTAGTACAAACTCTAAGGGCACTTTCCACTGCACCAGTTACCATAGGTACCTGAGGTGTTCTGAAGTCAAAATGCTGGTATCCCAGTCACCCCATAATGGTGGTCCCACCTGCATGTTGCTGCTTGTTTGATCAGAACAGTCATGAGATGTTAACCAAAGACCAAGTTTTTGAACATTCTGCATCACCAGGATAATAAAGTGCATTTCTGAAGCTGATTTTGCATTTTGGGTAATAAATATTTGGATTTATAGAGCGAAAAAAAAAAAAAGTTAAAAATAAATACATTTCTCAGAAAATTGTCCTGGAGTGATTTAAACCGCAAAGATGATGATTAGAAAATGATTAGAAATCCCGCACAGAGCTAATGGAAAAGCAGCAGCGTTAAACTTTACACTGATTTTTTAATCTTGAAAAGGAACAATCATTAAAATTGCAATGTTTTGTTTCCTATAACAAAGTACAAATGTTTAGTGAAAGCTTGATCACAAAAAAGCTGCCTATTGCGGTCCTTGCAATGTGAGAATTGTATGTACATAACATGTGATGTTGGTATTAATATTACGCATCATCCATCCCATTTTTCAAATTCACTACAAAATACCTCGGGTCGTGCTGTGATGTCATTCACTGCCGGTACCAGTTTTTACGGCAGTGGTAAAAAAACATCTTGAAGCACCAAAAGTACGGTACCTGGGGCGGTGGAAAAGCACCAAAAGCGTAATATATCACAGGGCCTCTAGTACTGCCAAGTGAATCCATTTCAAAGGAACAATCAACGAGTGCAGAGAGCAGGCAAGGGGCAGGAGAAGGTGGAGCTCAACTGAAGCGAAGGTCCGTCTGTAACAGCGACTGGACTCAGACCCGCAGCCCAGGACCTATGAGACTCTAGAGCTGTGTACTGATCCGTACACCCACCATATGACAAGGACATGCTGACAGCTCTGAGCTTTTCATAAGCACTCGTGATGTTTCTCAGGAGGCCATTTCAGGTTAAGTACCATCCCACAGGAGAGCTCCCCCAGGGACCTTCATCAGCAGCCTGGAGGTTCCAGGTGCAGCTCCTAATATCAGCCTGACGGCCATGCTGGCCAGTGGCAGCCCCCACACCCCCCCCCCCACACCCATACCCACGCACCAGGCAGTCCCTCTGCAGGGTCTTGACCAGCGCCCCGTTAGTGTCCACGTCCAACATCAGGCCGTCCGGCAAGTCCTGCATGAAGTCCAGGTCCTTGAAGGTAGGCCTGGCCTTCTCGCGCTCTTTCTTGGAGGCCCGCCGCTTGTACGTGGAGCCCTTCAGGTCGTACTTGAGGTGCATCCGCACCGCCCGCGGCAGCACGTTGTTCATTACCACCACCCGGATGTTCTTCCCCCCCGACTGGACGCAGTACAGCCCGAAGAACTTGGGCAGCAGCGTGCGGGGGTTCTGGTTCAGGTTCTACAGGAGGGAGAGGAGGGAGGTTAACCGGCAGGAGAAAGAACCTAGGATCACATCTCAAGCGAGAGTTGAAGAAGTTTAAGAGAAAATATCTCCCTGGACCTGTGATCATTCCTATAACATGACAAGTAATTCACACTATTAATAACTGTGCTGTCAACATATACTTTACATTCTATTCATAATGCTGATTAATAATTTACTCCACCACTGCAAAGATAAGCAAGTGCCTTCTGTGCAGGTGTGTGGTGGGGATAAAATGACATTTTCTGGATTTTGAGAATGACCGCTGGCCAGTGTAAGGACAGACCAACCACAAATCTTGGTCGTCAGCACTGGCTGGGATTACCCACCGACATTTTCACTTTCACCAAATAATAATATATTAATAAATCATAAATATACCCCTCCCCCAACTGTCCTTAAATGACGGGTGGGTGAAAGCGCGACCAGCTGGTGAAAAGGCCTTCCACTTTTAAGTTGGATTTCTAAAGACTTTTTAAAATAGAAAACTGTATTTAGCGTAGGATGTGTGAAATGCCGTCTGAATAACAGAGGCAGTGCTGCAGTGAGGGTGAGATTCCGCACTATTAGAAGCTCCTAACGGAAACACTGTGTTAATTAAAACCGAGCTGTTTGTCAGAGAGGTTATGCACAATCACCGTGCAGGTTTTCATTCATTCAAATGCAAAACAGCCTCAACCTTCAGGCAAAGGAGGAGTGGAAATTATACAGGCACCGTAATTCATCATCACACAACTTCACGGGCAGACAAGGCTCAGTGGTGGAGACTCACAAAGGGGCCGATGCCATCAAAGAACCGAGGCAGAAAGGAAGCAGTGTGAAGGCTGAGAGGAGGCAGTGTGGAGGTAGTGTGGAGGCAGTGTGGAGGCTGAGAGGAGGCAGTGAGGAGGCAGTGTGGAGGCAGTGTGGAGGCAGTGTGGAGGCTGAGAGGAGGCAGTGAGGAGGCAGTGTGGAGGCAGTGTGGAGG